CATGGAACTCCTCACGGAGCCCCAGACGGGCCATGAAGAGGATCACGGTCCGTTGAAGGGCTCGTGAAGGTGCTCAGGACCTGTCCTGGAGGTCTCCCTCCCACGAAGGGAGATCATGGCCCATGGTGAGCTTCACACCTCGTAGTGGTGCTAGTAAAAGAATTCCAGAAGCTGTCAAAGAGGGCTCTCCTCCCATGACCCCTTTGATGGCCTGTGGAAGGCCTCATGAGGTGTGAAGGTGATCGTAGAGGATGGCCAGCTTTCAGGGGGCCACTACACAAGGACCACAATGGCCACAATGAGCCGTGGGATATTACACGAGTCGTGTACGCTGCCGTATGGTGGTCACGTCAGCTGTAAGTCAGGGTCTTTTCCTAATTATTTTCTCTAAATACTATGTCATTTTACCCATACCTAGAACCAGTATATAAGAATTGTTAACCCCAAACTTAACCCATTCAAGTCATTCTCTAAAACTACCAAAAAGAAGAGCAAGTCTTTCTCTCCCAAATATTTCTCTCTAGAAAGCTTGAACAAGAAGGGTTCAACCTAGGGTTCCAAGCCAAGTCTCCAATTCCTCCATTGAAGTTAAACAATTGGCATTGAGGTATGGTAGTTTTCATCCATGGAGTCCCCAAATTCTCCAATTTCAAAGTTTGAAATCCCCAATTGAGTTAGAGTTTTCTTCTATGTTGTGGGTTCTCTTGATTATTGATTTAATTGATTGATTTATGATCTCTTATGCATGAATTGATTTAGTTTCATGTTTTTATGATGATCCCCCATGAACCCATGTAATTTCCATGTTTTGCAAGTTATGATGATGTAATGTGGGTTTTGAATTATGAAGAGGAGATTATGAAATCAAGTTTGAAGAAAACCTCCTGCGTGTTCTTGAGAGGTTGGTCGACTTTTCCTCTTTCTTTTTTCTCTAGTTTCGAATGATTATTTGGAGAATAATGTTTAGGTAGGTTCTGACTAGATTATTAGGCTTAAACTGAGTAAAATGACGTTGTTTAGGTATTAAATGACGTAGTTTAAATTCCCAATGCATAGGGGAAAATACCAAAACGACCGTAACTTAAAAGCTGACGAGGGCCAACCACGCCGTCAAAGGGACCACGGCCCATCAAGTGTGTCATGGTTGCTGGCCAATGTCTATTGGTTCTGCGAAGCCCCTCCACGGTCCACTTCACGGATCGTGTGAAGAGGAAAAGACCAAAACGACCCTCACTTAAAAGCTGTCGAGGACCAACCACGACGCCACTGACGGACTGTCGAAGGGACCACGACTTGTGAAGTGGGTTGTGGTAGCTGGCCATTATCTACTGGTTCTGGGAAGCCCCTCCACGGTCTAATTCACGGACCATGGGAAGGACCAGGGACTGTGAAGGTCGCCGTGGTTCTTCACTTGGGATGGGGGTCTGTTGGCTAATGAACGACGGACCCTCCCACGGCCTGTCATCAAGACCACGACCCGTGGTGGGCTCCGTGGTCTAGTGCCTTAGCCCTCGTGGATCTGCCTCACCTCCACGAGCCTTCCAACGGCTCTTGTGGGGATCCATGACCCGTGAAGGGTCCCATGAGCAGGTGGATGGACCGTGGATCCTCTCATGGTCCGTGAACCCTTCCGTAGTTCACCAATTTTTCTGTAGTCTAAGTCTGTTAGGTCTGAGGTGTACACCAAATTACCATCAACAAAGACACAATAGCCAACAGTAGATAATCTATTAGTTTTACATCCATCCCAATCAACATCAACAAAACACTCAATGTGAGTATGTTGTGGTTACAATATAAAAATGCAAGTCCAAGGGCTCTTTTCAAGTAATGTAGGATCTGCTCCAAGGCTTCCCAATGTTTGAGTGTAGATGTAGACATGAATTGTCTCACACCAATTACTGCAAAACCAACATCTGGACGAGTTACAGTGATGAAATAATTTAATTTCCCTACTAACCTCCACTTCTTATATTTATCTGGCTCATCAAAGGGACTTCCATCATCTCTGGTTAGATGCACATTAAGGACCATCAGAGTACTACAAGGTTTGGTTGCTGGCTTTCAGTTTTTGCAAGTAAGTCATGGACATACCTTCTCTGAGACAGAAAGATTCCCTTCTTGCTTCTAGTTACAACTACTCCGATGAAATATGTTATTTGTCCCAAGTCTTTTGTCTGGAATTTAGTATGCAAGAATGACCAGAGTGAAGAGATCGTCATATAATCAATTCCTGTAATAACAATGTTATCAACATATACTAGAAAAAGAATAATGCTAATTGTCGATTATATACAACGACTAGAGAAGAATTGGAATTGGGAACACCATTAAAACTTAATTCACTCTATAGCCACTTAATTTATTTTTGCTTTATTTTCTAGGGTTGGGATTTTTAAAAAGTAAAAGGTGTGGGGTCATGGGTCTGTTTGGCTTTTTTAAAACTTGGGGTATATTTGTGAATGTGGGGTCAAGGGCATATTTATTGTTTTTAAAACTTGGGGAAAATATATATGTTTAGAAAAAAAATATTATAATCCCAATACATTTTATTTTATATTAAAATCTGATTTAACTGATTTAACATGTTAAAATATATATATTAAAAAGACACCTCTTTCTGAAACCTGTTTCGACGTTTCTTCTTCTCAAGTGCAAAGGCTTTTCATCTTCCCCATACACCGATTCTATCAGTAATTGATGCTTATCGTGACCAACGATATTAAACTACGGTACGAGTATCTATGATCGTTGATAATATAGTAACCCAACCAAGGGTTGGGGTCGTGTCCCAAGGGAGTGGTAGTGAAAATAGTAGTTAATTAGAATTTCATTCTAATTAGTCGTAGCTAAAGAGATTTGTGAATAAAAACATTGTAAATTTGGGGGGTGACACGAAAGTGTCAAATATCAAAAGGGTTGGTTTTGTCACAAGTAGTAAAAACAACAAAAATAACAAGAAAATCAAGTATGGGGAAAAGTTCTTGGGGTGTGACCGCAATACAAGTTGAGATAAATAATTGGGTACATGCTTTCGATAGGAAATTTGCAAGATAATAGTGACTAGGCTAAGCTTTAGATGGAAATAAGTTCCCTCTCGGGAAACTTACCTCATTTTAAATGCATTCCTCTCGGACACCAATTTGCCGTATGAAGGCCAGCCTACGCCTTACCCCACTCACTCTCTCAAGCTGAGTGTTAGCATATGGGACTATGGCTCACCCTCTCGGGCTGAACCTCATGTCGACCCACTCCTTAGGCCATCAATCTAGCGGTCTTGGTTTCACGACCTCCCTCTCGGGAAAGCCGAAAATACATGGGTGGCTTTGTATTTGCAACTACTGATGAGTCCAAAAATTGAACTCATATAAGGCTTTATTATGATAGAAATAGTGTCCTCAAATGCTTATTTTGTCTCAATATCTGATGAAAATTCTTAAGTTTCAGGTATTTGATGTTTTGGTGAAAGCATGGATACTTAGGTGCAAAAAGGAACAAAAAGGATGAAAAGAACGAAGAAGATGAAGCCAGTGTATCACCAAGCACACTTGGCGACTCGCCGAAGGGATGCACTCCGCCCATTGTTCCAGTACGCGAATCCCTGAAGGAAAAGGATCAATAAGGCGATGAAAGGAGCAGTCGGCGCTTCACCGAATAGTTCCGCGAAGCAGTACTATACCTCCCAATAATGCAGAACATGACGAGGCTGAAGGCTAGTGCAAGACGACGATGAACTACACCAAAGGGTGAATCGCCGAGTTAATCGGCGATTCTGACTAACGTCGCCGAAAGATCCGCCAACACTATTTTCTGAAGTCTATAAATACTAAACTTGTTATTAATTTTTAGGGTGTGGAACATTAATTATAATTTCTAGAATAGAATAGTACTTTTTGGATATTTTCTCTCAAGTTTGGAGAGCGTTTTTTGGGGACTTGAAGAAAGAAGGATTTCAAGTTCTTCTTCCCCAAGTTGGAAGTGGGTCTTCTCCATTCTTCTTCCTTTCTTAAATCAAGGTCTAATTTCTTAAACCCATTTGATTTTAGTATTATTTTAGGTGTATTTTGTTATTTCTTGATGTGTGGCTAAAATCTCCCATTCTTGGGGTGTGATTTAGAAAATATGTGTTGATATTGTTGTTGGGTCTTGCTTGTTGATAGGATAGATGTATTTTAATGGTGACTTCACCTAGTGGTTTTGGTTTAATTTAATGGGTTTGTAGTTGCAAATACAAAACCACCCATGTGTTTTTGGCTCACCCGAGAGGGAGGTCGCGAAACCAAGACCGCTAGACTGATGGCCTAAGGAGTGGGTCGACATGAGGTTCAGCCCGAGAGGGTGAGCCCTAGTCCCATATCCTAACACTCATCTCGAGAGAGTGAGTGGGGTAAAAGCGTAGGCTGGCCTTCATACGGCAAATGGGTGTCCGAGAGGAATGCATTTGAAATGGGGTAAGTTGCCCGAGAGGGAATTTATTTCCATCTAAAGTTTAACCTAGTCACTAATATCTTGCAATTTTTCTATCGAAGGCATGTACCCAACGATTTATCTCAACTTGTATTGCGGTCACACCCCAAGAACTCTTCCCCATACTTGATTTTTTTTGTTTATTTTCGCTGTTTATACTACTTGTGATTAAACCCCCAAATCGATAGTTGACACTTTTGTGTCACCCCACTTTGATTTATTATGTTTTTAATTGTTAATATCTTTAGCTACGACTAGTCAGAACTAAATTTTATTTTTCTATTAATTCTCAAAACCACTCCCTTAGGACACGACCCCAACCTTTAGTTGGGTTACTATATTATCGACGATCGTAGACACTCATACCGTATGATAGTGTCGTTGGTCACGATAAGCATCAAAATGGAGCCGCTGCCAAGGAGTGGTGTTATTTGAGAATTTTTAGATTAGTAGAGTTTTTGTTCTTCTTAGTTGTACTCTACTTACCTAACTTTCATTTTTGTTTTGAGTATTTGTGTGCCACCACAGGACATATGAGTGCAAACGGGGAGAATAGTTGCCAAGTGGGCCACTCAAGGAGTGGTGTTTTTCATCGAGATGACATCGATGATGCTAATAGTATTTATAACTCTTCTAACATGGGCAAGATGGGTGAAAGTGGCATGCCACAAGCTGACGGGAAAGTAAAGTTTGAAGTTACCAGCGCAACCCTCAAACTCATACATTCAAGAGGCTTATTTGGAGGGTTAGAGGATGAAGATCCGCACGAGCATGTACAAAGCTTTGTCGAAGTGTGCACCCCTGTATCATTCAGAACCTATCTCAAGAATCCATACGGTTTTGTTTATTTCCATTATCATTGACTGGGAGAGCTATTAAATGGTTGGTTGAGCATAACAACAACTCCATTAAATCATGGGAGGAGCTGGTTATGGCATTTCATGAAAGATTCTTTCCTCCATCAAGAATGATGAAGCAGAGAGACGACATTCATAATTTCAAGCAAAAGGAGGGTGAACCAATTCACGAGTCATGGATAAGGTTCAAGAGATGTTTACGTAAGTGCCCAACGCATGGACTGCCAGGTGAATTGCTGCTCCAATACTTTTATCGTAGTCTTGAGTCGGTTAATAAAGGGATAGCTGATCAATTGGTGCTAGGAGGAATAATGTTACAATCATTTGAAGTAGCCTCATTTCTCCTAGATGGTATGACTAAAGTAAACCAGGCATGGTATACCAAAGATGATCAAGTTTCCCCACTATGCTTCTGGTTAACGCAAGAGCAGATCAAAAAAGAAAGGGAGAGGGACGAAAACATCAAGAAAATGTTATCTCAAATGGAAATCCTACAAGAACATATGAACGGGACACGTGGAGTATTTCGAGTTGAGGAGGGTTCTTCTTCTGGTTACTCAAGACCGGGAGAGAATCAAGGTTGGAACTCCAGAAGATACGAGAAAGGTTTCCACCCACGCTATCAACCGCTGGGTGGGAATAAAGGTTGGAATTATTATAGTGGCAAAGAACCAATGAGATGTTGGCAAGATGGGGATGAGCGGGATGATCAAGAGGAAGACCATACTCATTTGAGTGAAAGCCCGAAATCTAAAGGGAGTGCAGTAGTCCTCGGGTAAATGATTTGTTATCGCGCATACTCAATAAAGTCGAGGGGTCTGATGATTTGCTAAAAGGGATGAAAGATGACTTTTCATCATTGAACAGTAAAGTGAATTCTCATGTTGATGCCATCAACATGCTGGAAGGTAAATTGAGTCTATTATCAGCTCAGTTAACGTCCAAAACACTGATGGACTATAGTGAAAGAGAGCTGGCTGTGGTTACCCGTAGCGGTAAAGTGGAAATAGGGAATGTGATGGAAGATGAGGATCCTCAAAAACATGAAGAGGGCCAAGGTGTGGAGGAACAAGATTTACCTATTCGACAAAACCTCACTAAAGAACCACAGGAGAAAGCAGAGCAAAAAGTTCAAGCTCCAAAAATCATACACCCTTTACCCAAGATACCTCCACCATTTCCCCAACGTTTGAAAAAGAAGAATGAAAATGCGAAGTTCAAGAAATTTTTGTCAGTATTCAAAAGCTTATCGATTAACCTCCCTCTGGTAGAAGCATTGCTGGGAATGTCGGGATATGCCAAATTAAGGAAAGAACTAGTTACAAAGAAAAGGAGCTTAGACTATGAAACGATTGAGGTGCCCCACAGTTGCAGTGCAATTATGACAAATGACTCAATCACTAAGTGAGAAGATCCTGGGGCATTCACAATCCTGTGCACAATTGGAATGCTCCAATTTGCTAAAGCCTTGTGCGATTTTGGAGCAAGCATCAACTTGCTGCCCTATGCAATATACAAGCAACTTGGTGTGGGTGAACCGAAGGCAACCACAATGAGGCTCCTTATGGCTGATCGATCAATCAAGCACCTAGTGGGTATACTCTATGACATATTGGTAAAACTGGATCGGTTCATCTTTCCAACTGATTTTGTGATTCTAAACTGTGAGATCGACGCTGAAATCCTCATTATTTTGGGAAGGCCATTCTTAGCTATCGGGAAAGCATTGGTGGATGTTTAAAGCGGGAAATTGAAGTTCCATGTGAACGATGACGAGGTGACTTTCAATATCTATAAATCCATGAAGCAACCAGGTAATATCCATGTAGTGTCTACTGATGATGTGATAGATAAGGCAGTGGCATGTGTGAGTCATTTAATGCGCAAGAATGAGCCCCTTGAATCTGTACTTGCCAATTATGATGAATTTGAAGTTCAGGGTTATGAGGAAGTTGTAACTGCTTTATTAGGATTATGAGCATATTCAAGGAATCCAATCAAGTTAGATATCAACCCGAAAAATAGAGAAAGTCCCCTTGCAAAGCCATCAACAGAAGAACCACCAAATCTGGAATTAAAAGCCCTACCCTGTCATCTCAAATATTCCTTTTTAGGAATCAATAATACTTTACCGGTAATTATAGCCGCCAATCATCTTGAAAGGCAGGTGAAATTGATCATTGAAGTACTGCGGAAGCATATAAAAGCTATTGGATGGACAATAGCCGATATAGTAGGAATTTCTCCTGGTATCTGTACTCACAAGATTCGGCTCGACAGTGAATGTAAACCTAGTGTGCAACATCAACGGAGATTGAACCCTCCAATGCAAGAGGTGGTAAAAAGGAGATCATCAACTGGCTAGATGCAGGAGTTATCTACCCTATTACAGATAGTAAGTGGGAAAGTCCGGTGCAATGTGTACCGAAAAAGGGGGGTATAACCGTAGTCCCAAATACAAAAGGAGAACTTGTGCCAACAAGACCAGTGACTGGGTGGAGAGTATGCATGGACTACCGAAAGCTTAACTCATGGACCGAGAAAGACCATTTTCCAATGCCTTTTATGGATAAGATGCTTGACCGATTATCAGAGAGAGGGTGGTACTATTTTTTGGAACGGTACTCTGGCTACAATCAAATCTCTATTGCGCCAGAAGATCAAGAGAAAACCACTTTTACTTGCCCTTATGGAACATTCGCATTCAAAAGGATGCCATTCGGGTTATGTAATTCCCCAACAACATTTCAGCATTGCATGTTGTCTATTTTTACAGATATGGTCAAAGACTCTATGAAGGTGTTCATGGACGACTTCTCAGTCGTAGGGGATACGTTCGAAGAGTGCTTGACTCACTTAGGACAAGTAATCCAAAGATGCGTGGACACGAATCTAGTTCTGAATTGGGAGAAATGTCACTTTATGATAATAGAAGGTATTGTTCTTGGGCATAAGGTGTCACAAAAGGGGCTGGAAGTTGACAAGGCAAAAAATGAGGTCATTGAGAAATTACCCCCACCGATTTTAGTAAAGGGTGTTCACAGCTTCTTGGGGCATGCAGGATTTTACATAAGGTTCATTAAAGACTTCTCAAAGATTGCAATCCCATTATGCAAACTCTTAGAGAAGGAAGTGAAATTCCACTTTAATGATGCTTGTATGGTTGCATTTCAGTGTTTGAAAGAGAAACTAATATCCACTCCGATTATCATCAGCCCTAATTGGTCCGAATCTTTTGAGTTAATGTGTGATGCTAGCGGTATGACACTGGGGGTTGTGTTGGGGCAAAAGTGCAACAAACTGTTTCACCCAATCTACTATGCAAGCAAGACTCTAAATAGTGCCCATTATAATTATACGGTCACCGAACAAGAATTGCTTGCCGTAGTCTATGCATTTGAAAAATTCAGGGCATACTTGCTAGGCACCAAAGTAATCGTACACACTGATCATGCTGCACTTTGGTACATGATGACAAAGAAAGATGCAAAACCACGATTGATTAGGTGGGTGCTACTCTTACAAGAATTTGCTTTCGAGGTAAAATATCGAAAATGATGTGAAAATCAAGTGGCTGACCATTTATCAAGGTTGGAAACAAGGGTGAATGTTGAGCATGAGGTAGACATAGACGACTCTTTCCCCGATGAATGGGTGTTTGCAATATCCCTCAAACATATGCCATGGTATGCAGATTTTGCAAATTACATTGTGTGTGGGCTGATGCCGGATGAGTTGACCTTTCACCAATAGAAAAGATTCTCGTTCGATATTAAAAAGTACTTTTGGGACGAACCATACTTGTTCCGAGAGTGTGCTGACCAGGTCATCAAAAGGTGTATTCTGGAAGAAGAAATGGTAGAAATTCTCCATGCTTGCCATACATCTCCAGCGGGAGGTCACCATGGTGGTATTCGCACCGCCGCTAAATTCCTCCAGAGTGGATACTACTGGCCGTCACTCTACAAGGATGCACATGAGTTTGCAAAGAAATGCTCTAAATGTCAGCAGCAAGGCGGAGTGTCTAGAAGACACGAATTACCTCTCACTCCTATTTTAGAGGTCGAGCTATTCGATGTATGGGTGATCAATTTTATGGTCACATTTGTGAGCTCGTTTGGAAATAAATATATCTTAGTGGCTATAGATTATGTTTCCAAATAGGTGGAAGCCATCGCATTTCCTACCAACGAAGGAAAAAGCGTTGTCCAATTCCTGAAATGCAACATCTTCGCAAGATTTGGGACTCCGAAAGTAATCATTAGCGATGGGGGATCCCACTTTTGCAATAAGTGGTTCTCAATGGCACTGAGTAAATATGGGGTGAAACACAAAGTAGCAACCCCATATCATCCCCAAACAAGTGGCCAAGTTGAAGTGTCGAACCGGGAATTCAAAAGAATATTGGCAAAGACAGTAAATGTCAATAAAACTGACTGGTCTAGGAAACTCGATGATGCACTATGGGCATATCAGACTGCTTACAAAACACCTATCGGGATGTCTCTATATCAGTTGGTTTATGGAAAGGCTTGTCATTTGCCCGTCGAGTTAGAACACAAAGCATTGTGGGCATTGAAAGCTTTAAATTTGGACTGGTCAAAAACTTCAAGGGAGAGAGTAGAGCAGATGAATGAACCTGATGAATTGAGACTCAGATCATATGAAAGTTCAGCCATCTATAAAGAGAAGATGAAGAAATGGCATGATGCTCGAATACTCAAGCGAGACTTCAAAGTAGGAGATTGGGTTTTGCTATACAACTCGCGACTTAGGCTCTTCCCCAGAAATCTCAAATCTAAATGGTCTGGACCGTTTAGAGTAGCGCGAGTGTTCGTAAATGGTGCCATAGAAGTTGAAGATCAGGAAGGACCTCCATTTACAATGAACGGTCAACGTCTGAAATTGTATTTGGGGGTTGTCAAGAGATTTCGTTAGTTGAAGTGGTCTATTTGGAAGACGCCTGAAGGCGCTGCTGCGTCGTGTCGCGACGTTAACCAAGGCACTGTTTGGGAGGCAACCCAAAAAAAAAGTCCCTTTAATTACTTTATTTTTATTATTATCAAGTACTTACTTCCTGGTAATAGAATGGTATGTTGCTGGTGTAGATGAAAGTACGTGAAGTGTTTGAAAAGGTGAATGATGGCAAAATATAGATCCTGTCGGCGAGTTGCCGAAAGGGTTGGCGAATCCAACCCTATCCACCATTTGACTCAAGACATCTTCAATAGGTTGAAGTCTGTAAAACTCGGCGAGATTTGGAGATTATTTGCTAATCGCTGACCATTTCGGTGGTCACACTGAAAACCGCCGTTCGGACCTTCACAATTACTGAAGATTCTGTAAAACTCGACGAGTCGAACGCTCACTCAGCAAATCGCCAAGAGGTTAGGAGATCTGAACTAATGTCACCGAATAAGCGAAAGACTAGACGGTTTTTGCAAGCCACATGTTTAAAAGTTCTATTTCATTCATTTTCTCTCACTTCTTCGTCCTATCAAACTCACACCTGCACTCTAGCCTTTTATTTATTTCACTTTTAGAGTATTTTAGCTATTGAATTGTGCTCGGAGTTGGATTGCATTGTTGCTAGCACTCCATTAGTATCTATTCGGCATCAAAGGTTGGTAACTCGATTTGAGGACAAATACTTTTTATTTGTGGTGGGGTGAGGCCCACCTTTTGTGTGCTATTTGATGTTCGTATTTTGTGATTATATTTGGGTTATCTCTTTTAATTATGTGTTTAAAACTGCTTTACGATTGTTTGAGCTTGTGGCTCCGCTTATTTTTAAATTGCAAAACGATTTTGACCCTTCTGGAAAAAAAACTTTCGCCACCACCTGTGTTGAAAGTGACTGTTCTCGTACAAATTTAAGTCTCGTTTTTTATCAATACCAATGACTTAAATAGTTCTCTCAAATGAAAGAACATGAATGTACGGCTACGATGAGACCAAATGAAGTTGCATAAACAATATGTGAACTCTTTGCATGTCGTTGTGATTAGCCATTTATCGAATTGATTCTCTTGTAATGACCATTGTACACTAGCGAAATTGTGTAGTCTTGTTTGCTTTAAGTGTCGATACCTTGTGTGATTAGCTAGCTTTGAACCATGCATGAATAAACCTAGAATTTGCCCTGTTAGTCTGATTGATTTAGAAGATGTCCTCTTGAAATGATCTTAGGCAACTTTAAAGAGTGTGAGCAAAATTTGACATATACCTCTTTTGTGGCCTACCCGTGAGCGTGTGAAACTCTTTTGAACACCCTTTGACCCTTACCTTTCTTTGGAAGAACATTGATGAACCCTAGACCTTACTTGACCCACTACCTATAATCCTCTTGATTTGTGGTTTAGCAAATAGCCAACTTAGGCCAAAAGCCTAAGTTGGGGGTGTGGTGAA